ACGAGGCGCCCGCGGGCGGGTAACTACCAGGCAAAACCTCCCCCCACCCACCCAACACAAGGCGTCCAAGAAGCGCCACCAGCTGTGCACAAGTCGAAAACTCTGCACACCCAGCGAAGCACCTGAAGTAACAGCAGCAAGAACCCCTCAGGGCTAATACTGTCTTGGGGAGCTTCGCGGGCGAGTACAACAAGGTTCCCACGATCACACTACCACATGTCCTATAAAGACGTACGTAAATAACATCGCTCGCCTATCCCCCGGCCAATCCTTCAGACAACGAGTGCACGCCAGAAGCCAGCCGAGCATCCTGGCAGCAACGCTGGCAGCGGGAGGATCGCCGCACGCGAGCTGGCACGCCTGGAATGAGCTTCCTGGCAAGATCCTTGGCAGTGGGACCAGCTCCACCATGTGAGCAAGCACGGTCAGACTGGGCTTCCTGCTGGCAATGCTGCCAGCGAGCCGGCACGCTTGGCGTGCGCGTCCTGGCCGCAACGCTGGCAGCCTGAAGTGCAGTGGAAACGAGGCGACCCCGTTGACGAAGCTCACGGTGCGGGGCAGTGAAATTACTCGACGCAGAGATGCTCATATGTGCGTCTCATTTTCTTGGCACGTCTCGCTGTGAGTGTCTGGCTGTGAATTGCTGTTTGGCTGTATCCGCCTGCGTCCATCCCCGCAGTGCTAGCTCTGAGGCTTGTGGGGTGTTCAAGCCAGCGCCTCGCCAAAGACACCATCACATTCTGCTCTGAAAGCAAGCAAGTCCAAGGCTCCGAACAGGCAAACCGCCCGAGGCATTCCCACAATCTGGCCGCGAACAGGGGAGTGCTGAAACCAGCGCTTCGCTCGAGACATCGTCACAAGCTGCCCTGAAAGCAAGCTAATGTGGCCTCCCAAACAAGCAAACCGCCTCAGACACCTGGACACTCTGGGCGCGAACGGGCCCGTGCAACACCCTGGCCCTCCCCCCTTTTATAATGCCGAAACCAGCGCCTCGCTCGAGACATCCTTAATTACAATCTGGGCTGAAAGCAAACGAATCTGGACACCCAACCAAACAAACCGCAAGAGACATCACTACGATTTGGGCGCGAACGGCGGGCGCCCTGCCATCCGCCCATGACTCGCAGAAGCCGACGCCGACGCCAAATCCTGCTCCTCCTGCTCCTGTTCCTGCTCCTCCTCCGCCTGCTCCTCCTCCTCCTCCTGCTGCTGCTCCTCCTCCTCCTCCTCCTCCTCCTCCTCCTCCTCTTCCTCCTTTTCCTCCTCTCTGAATCCGCGACCCCGGCACCAGACCCACTGTAGGTCTGGTGTCCACCGGGGCCAGGCGTATCGGGCCAGAGTCCAATTATGAATTATTAGGGCGCGTGTCCATCCAGGGGTGGGGTTTTCGGCACCTGGACGGGGGGCGACATCCCGCCCACGTGCCCGCGACAGGACACGCACCCCAAAAAACCAGTGTCAAGGCAGAACAACACAAAAATACAATGCAAAGGCGGCCAGCCAGACGAAGGAAGGGCGGGCCGGGGGGGGGGGGCGGGGGCGGGGGCGTCGGAAGTGGTTCTGGGCAGCGCGCAGCTGACGTCGGGCAGTCCAGCGCCAGGGTGGCCGCGGGGGCGGCAGCGTCATCGAGCGGCGAGTGGCCGGGCGCGGGGCGGCTCGAGACCTGGATGTTGAGCGGTCGTCGCCGCATGGAGGCAAGGACTGTGCTTAAGTGCGGCGGCAGCGGGCGACGCAGGGCGGCGCTGCTGAGGTAGGCGTGGCGTGCGCCGCTGGCACCTAGCAGGCGCTGGGGATCATTTCGGCGCTGCTCATCACCAGCGCGCGCTGGATGCGGCGCAACGCGGTGGCAATTACAGCCGACCGCTCCACGTCGGGCAGGTTCTGGCCGCAAGAGCGGACGAAAGAAACGAGTTCATCCGCAGGCCACCCTCCCGTTTCCAAGACGGCTGGGATCAGCTCGCCTCCCGACGGAGGGTACCGATTCCGCTTGACGCCCGCCGCCTGCGACGCGGCCAGTCCGTCGTTGTTGGATCGTGCCCACCTGCGCTCGAGATTGTCAGAGCGTGCGCAGGTGACAGACCAATTAACGTAGATAGGCTGTCCAGTGGCGGCGTCGCGGGCAGTCACGTCGAGGCGGGCTTCTTCCAACTCCCCAGTAGCAGCGTCCACACGGTCCCAAGCTGGGGCCCACTTTTCGGTCACCGCCACGTGCCCTGTCTGTGCCTGGTGGAAGAGCGCGCTCCAGTCTCGCAGGCCGTTGTGGCGGTGGTCGCGAGACCCCCCACAGCCGCACTTCAACGGGTGCCAGCCCTTTGCGTCCAGGGGCACAACGCATATCGTGCCGTCTCGCTTGCGGTGTTGGCAGGGCGCCCCTGGCGTACAGACGTCAGCACGAAGGCGCTTGCGCAAACCCAGGTGAAAGTGGGCATCAGGGATGGGCGCATCCCCCTCCTGGCGTGGGAGGAGCCAACTCCCCGCCGAGGTGCCGATGCTCTCGCGGAGGGCAACCTGGTCGTCCCCGCCCAAGGTGTTCAGCAACTGCGTCCGTCTGTGCGCTGAAGTGCGCTTGCCCTAGTAGCCTTGCACTTTGGCTCGCGGCTCCGCCAAGCAGCTTCCCCAATCAATGGGACCTTCCTGCCCCCTTAGGCGTCGAGCTCGGCTTCCGCGCTCCTCGTGTCCCTGGCAACGCGGGGGCACCTCGACAGAAAACCTTCCAAGGATGTGGCCCCGAGACAAGCGGCGACGCTGGGGATGACGAGTGCCCAGCTGCCCAGGTAGGCCCGCGCTGCCGTATCTCGAGCTGACAGAATGGCGCAACCTCCGTCGGACAACCCGAGCTTTGCTTGCTCCCGCTGCGAACCGTCAAATGCGAAACCCGCAAATTCTTCGCAGGCGCCCCAGAGGAGGTCGTCCAGCTGCCCCGCCCACGCGGTCTCGAAATTGGCCCGGAGCAGGTGGGTGGCGCAGCCCTGCGCGCACGTGCACAAGAGGGTGTGGGCTCCCTCGGCAGACAGCCCATTGCCCCGTAGCTGTCGCCGGTGCTGCAAGAAACGCCGCATCTTTTCCAAGACTTCGCGCCCGTCGGAAGTGCCGTGGACCGGGAGCCGCCCGTCGTCGTCGCCGCCGTCCAAGTCGTACCACGGCACAGGGTTTCCGAGCACAGTGAGGGCGTCGACCCGGCGCGCCTCTTCCTCCTCCTCCTGCCCTGCTCTTCCCCTGGATTCCGTGGCGGCGCTGGCGGCTGCAAGCAGTGGGGAGTCGTGGGGCCTCTGCCAACAAGCTCAGCGCGCTGCTGTTGGGGCCCTCCTGAAAAGGTCAGAAAATCCTCCTCCTTCAAATGCGACTGCATGCATACGGCCAGGAATCTTGCTGGAAGAAATGCAAGGGCACACCTGTCGTCAGTGCCCCAAGTCTGTAGGTCCCCAGGTCCATCGGGGGATCAGAAGTTTCGATGGGGCGCCTGCCAGCAGTCTGGTTTCTTGTTTGACGTGCCTACTACGCTCAGAACTCCGACGTCGTAATTGTTTCAATGCTGGGGTATCGTAGTTTCGGCATCTTGAAGACAACGTCGGGCCCTGGGGCCGTCAAAGATCTAGGCAGGATGAAAAACCGAGTCCAGGGAATGGGTCAAGCGTTCTGTGGTACCAGTTGTTCCCCATATCCTAGGATGGGGTTCTTCTTATTCGTGTGATACCTCCCCCTCCCTCCTTCCTACTTCCTCCTTCCCGCCTCTATCCTCATCATCCACACTCAGCCCCGCCCACATTCAGACGCACTCACACCCAGATTCACTGACCCTCAGACTCACCAACAATCAGACTCATTGAAACTCATAATCACTCATACACAGACCACTCTCACTCATAGCCAGTCATACTCAGCCAAGGCACACTCAGACTCGTACACACATACAACTCACGTTCTGATTATAAAACGTTCAGACTCACGCATACTCACACCCACACTCACACATAGCCGCATTTCAGCAACCCACTCAGACCCACGCATACTCGCTTTTTAGCTTCAGGCTCGCTCATGGCCACCGAACTGTAGCAGGCATGGCGCTTGGACATCCCAAGGGAGAGCCACCAGGGTGGGTACAACCGCCTGTTCGCGGCCAACTTGGGGGAAGTCTCAAGCGTTTTGCCTGTTTCCGAACTCAGACTCGTCTTCTTCGAAAGTGCCATACTTACTGCGATCTAACAGGCGTCACATGTGGGCACCCCTCGGAAGAACCGCGAGGGGTGGTTGCAACCCCTAGGGGCGGTTGCGACCGCCCGTTCGCAACCATATTGGGGAATGTCTCGGGCGGTTTGCCTGTTTCCGAGTTCAGACTCGTCTCTTTTGAAAACCCCATGATCACCGCGATATGTTAGCAAGCGTAGCGCTGGCGCACCCCAAACTGGAGCTGCGAGGAACGGTTGCACCCACACGAATGAAGCAGACATCGCGTTTGGACACCCCAAAGGGGAGCCGCCAGGAAGTGGAGCACTCACGCGTTCGCGGCCAAATTGTGGGGATGTTTCAAACAAGGCGCTGGTTTTGCACCTCCAACTCCTCTGTTTTCAATGTTTGGGGGCGTCTCGAGCGAGGCGCTTGTTTTAGTACCCCCAGGGGGAGCTGCCAAGGTGTGCTGCAGGGCCTTTTGCGGCCAGATTCTGGAGATGTCTCAAGCGAGGCGCTCGTTTTGCACCTCCGACTCCTGCGCATTCAGAGCCCAGCGATCACCGCAATTTACCAGGAAAAGAATCTAGCACGTTGCAAAGTAACTTCCATATCCGCATGAATGGAACCCGTAGGCAATGGGTTATGTTCATGATACTGCTGTTCTTCGTGTACTTGAATACGGTGAAATACCGGCCTCATGCTGAACCTTGGGGTGGGGACCTCCCCGCCGACATGGCGAAAAAGTGATTGGTAAGCACATGCACCGGAGTAAATGTGTATGGAATAGCCGGCCGAGGGAGGGAGGCCGGACGCGCGCGCGGGAACACCATTTTACCAAGCACGCGTGGCCACAACGTTCAAAGCACTGAATCTAATTGCTATAAACTGGCGCCACCCACCCTCAGTTGGAGGGTAGTGGCGGCGCAGCAAAAGAAGGCGAAGGGAGCGTTAGTGCCGACTCCCTCAGCGGCCGTCAATGCGCGGGCCGACGTCAGCACATTGGCTAACGCTCAGCGCCCTGGGCAGGCTGCCCAGGGCGCGAAGGCTCATAACGCAAGGAGAACGTTCAACTGTTTCAGCGGTTCCCTTGGGTCATGGCCTTCACTCCACCCCTAGGCACATTGGACCCCACGGAGCAACCCCCAATGCAGTTTTACAGCGCCAGTGGAAGGGGCGGAGTTACTCCCAACATTGTCCGTAGGACTAGCCGAGGCCGATTAGCGCACCCCTCACCTCTAAAACAAACTTCGCGCCGCGCCCGCCTTCCAGAACGTTCGTCACACAGTAGCAAGAAGTTCCCACTCATTCACTGGACGCTCGCCACATAGTGACCAGACGCCCCATTTAACGCCAAGGGTCACGTCAGTCATCATCATAGCTCCAGCGGCTGCCCCAGCCCTGTCGCCACCCTGGCTCCAGCGGGGGTTCTCGTCCTCCGTTAACGTGACCGTACGGTGGTCCTTCGTGTCGTTGCGCGCGGGTCTGAGCCTCAGGGAGAGAGCCGCCGATGCTGAAGAGGCCGCCTGCAGGTCCTTCTCCCTCAATGTTGGTTCGCGGCAGCGGCTCGATGGCGGTCTGTCCCCGCGGCCTCCTTCTTTGCCAGTGCCGACAGGGAAGTCGCCTCCTCCACGCTCTGCGGAGGGGGAGCGCTTGCATTTGTCCCTCAACTTTTTTGTTTCACCCTCGGGGCGTTTTCATTTTATTTGTTTCCCTCGTGCGCTTGTTGTTGTTTCTCCCTCGGCGCTGCTCCCTTTTCCCTTGGCGTTGTTTGCTTGTTCCCCTCGGGGGGGAAGGGTCCTGACCCAGGCGTAGGGACGGAGCTCGAGACTGCGTAGCCCTAGTGCTCCAGGGCTTCCAACGCCTCCCCTAAGAGCACCCCCAGATGCCCCAAGAGGGCGCCTAGAAGCATGCCCAGGGCGCCCTCGGGGGGGAGGGGGGGCGACTGCTCCGAGGGTGGGGCAGGGGCCTTAATATGTTGTTGTTCCTCTCCGGAGTGGGGCGGCCAGGAAGGGCGAGCCAGAGAAGCCTGGCGGGCGCTCCAGCTCGGTCCGGGCACACTGGGGCTCCAATGTGACGGTCCAGCGGACAAGAGGCGTGCGAAGATGACCTCCAACAATAATTGTTGAATATCTGATTCGCGGGCGCGTGGCGGCCCCTGGGTAAAGCCTCACACGCGTAAAATGTAATGGAGTCGCTTGCGACGCACTTCGTGGTGCCAGCGTTGTTGCAAAGAAGCCCGTTCTGAGCAAGTCCGCTCGCGACGAATCGATAATCCTCGCACATGCCAACGAAGTAATCCTCGCACATGCCAACGAAGAACTGAGACAAAGGTACACGAACATCGAACGTCAACGAACATCGAATGTCGACGATAACCCAGGAGAAAGTAAAACAAATCGGGGATCGAGGAACATCAGCAAAAGATCAATGAAATTCAGATGTCGACGAACATCGAGGAATCATGAAAAAGACATCGAATTTGTTGGACAAAAGACGGGCGAAAATGATCTCCGGTGATAGGTTTTGCCCACTGGGGCTCCAATTTGCAGGCCCAGCAGACCAAAGGCGCGCGGAGATGGCTCAAAAGGCCTTCACGATGGTCCTCTGACGCCTCAAGGACGGCGAAAATGGCCCGAAGAGATCCCCAAATTACCCCGAGATGCCTCCAAGACGGCCCAAGATGGACCAAAGACAGCCCTTACGACTAGGAGAACATGCAGGCCAATATCTTGGCCAAGTGTTGCCCCGACATTTCACCACATAGGGGCTTCCAAAAGGCAGGGGGCGGCGACGGTTCGCCGCAAGCGTCTTCAACGATAAAGGGGCCGTGCTGCTCCTCCTCCTCCTCCTCCTGCTCCCCTTTCCTCTTCGTCCTTCTGCTCCTCCTCCCCCTCCTCCACCTCCTCCTGCTGCTGCTGCTCCTCCTCCTCCTGCTGTTTTTTTCTCAGCAGCGGCGAACATTTATAGGCTGTGGCATCGGCAAATCCGGAGGATACGTCGGGCTGGGCTTTCAGTTCGAGGTCCGAGCGGGTCCGAAGAAAATTGCTTTGTATACCCCAGACAGAATTTGCACTTGGGCGTTCCCATTGTTCTAAGGAGCTGGGCCTGGGTGGCCGTCTGGCGGCTTTGTTCCCGCCGTAGCCGCCACGTCGCCGTCATGTCGCCGCCCGTCGTCTGGGCCCGCGTGGCGGTTTGGTAATTATTTTCCCTCCGTCGCGTCCCTGTCGCCGCCATTGATTCTCCTTTCTAAAAACAAAATAGGATCTACCCCCCCCCGCTGGCGTTATCGACACCCCTTTCGGATATGTAAATCATGTATGATTATGACCACATGTCCATCCTAAATCTGAAATCACAATGTCAAATGCCAACCGGCATCCCCCCCCCTGAGGGTCCCTTGAAAAAAAACTATGCGGTGACATTTTGTTGTTCTAACATAGCACTTGTTCGCGAATCCCTTGCAACAAAAAGGGACGAAGTGCACACGCGCGCGTCGTCGCGCGCGCATGCCGAAATCCTTCAAAAACCTTCGGTGCCGGAAGGATTTCGCAATCGAGTTTCCAAAACACATACAAAAAACACAGGGTTTCGCAACACTGATTTGCTAAAAAAGCTTTAGCTCTTGCGAAACCTTAAGAAACCATCGGATATTCAATATGTCCATCACATGCTATTAAGCGGGCTTCGCGCGCGCATGCCGGAATCTGTCGAACGCCCTTGCGCGTGTGCCGTCGCGAGAACCCTCGGCAAAAAATGGGACGAAGTGCAGACGCGCGCGTCGTCGCGCGCGTATGCCGAAAACCTTCAAAACGCATCGGTTACGGAAGGATTTCAAAATCGTGTGTCCAAACAACCTACAAAAACCCAAGGTTTCGCAACACGGATTTTCAACAACAGCGTGCGCGCGCGCTCTTGCGTCGTCGTCGTCGTCGTCGTCGTCGTCGTCGTCGTCGTCGTCGCCGTCCTCCCTCCTCCCGCGTCGTCGTCGTCGTCGCCTACGTCGTCCTCTGTCTTTCCTCGTGTTCGTCGTCGTCGTCCTCTTTGGCGTCGTGGTCGTTTCCGTCGTCGTTGTCGCCGTGGTCGTCCTTCCTCCTCCTCCCTCGTCGTCGTCGTCGTCCGTCGTCGGCGTCTCGTCGTCGTCCCTCCTATTTCGTCGCCGTCGTCGTCGTCGTTGTCGTCGGCGTCTTCCCTCCTCCCTCGTCGTTGTCGTCGTCGGCGTCGCCGTCCTTCCTCCTTCTTCGTTGTTCGCGTCGTCGCCGTCCTCCCTCCTCCCTCGTCGTTGTCGTCGTTGTCGTCGTTGTCGCCGTCGTCGTCCTTCCTCCTCCTTCGTCGTCGCCTTCGTTGGCGTCGTCGTCGTCGTCTTCGTCGTCGGCGTCGTTGTCGTCGTCGAAGTCGTCGGAGACGTCGTCGGTGTCGTCGTAGTCGTTGTCGTCGGTGTCGTCGTAGTCGGTCTTAAGAGGTTTTGCAAACCAAGTTGCGGGTGGGTGGGTGGGATGTTTGCGCGAGCAGTGGAGATGACGACTTCAAGTTCAGCAGAGTGGATTGCTGCACCACATAGACTGCACCACAGATATTGCACCACATAGATGACACCACTTAGATTGCAGATGAGGGTGACCCAGGCGCCCGCTGGCAGGAGGACGTGGAGCTAATTGCGAAGCGCGCATGAACAGTGAAACTCATTCGGAATTCGATTGGAATCCCGATTTGCCCGCCGCCCGCCGCCCTACCGCCGCCCGCACGCCCGACGCCCGCCCGTCGTGCTTCCGAATTCAACACAACACCCCGTGCTCAACAGCATCCGTTCCCAAAACGACACCCAATAATAAACAAGCTCCGTCTCCAACACGGCACCCGGTACTCAACTGTCACCGTCTCCAACACCACATCCTGTTCTAAACAGCATCCCTCTGCAAGGGAGAATATTTAGGAACCCCATTCAAATCCCGATCCACCCGCCACCCGCCCGCCGCCCGCCCACCCGCCGCGCGCCCACCGCGCTTCCATGTTCACCGCAACACCTAATACTCAGCGAACTCCGGGTCCAACGCAAAATCCGGTATTCAACAAGCTCCGTCTCCATCATTACACCTTGTACTTAACAACATCCCGCTGCAAGAGAACATCCTTCGGAGTTCTGTTAAAATAAAATTCCGATCCGCCCGCCGCCCGCCGCCCGACTGCCGCCCGTCCGCCCGCCACCCGCCACCCGCCCGCCGTGTTTCCGCGTTCAACACAAGACCCCGTGCTGAACAACATCCGTCCCCAACACAACACCAAATTCGCCAGCCCAACGGGCCAGAGGCGTGCTAAGATCTCCGGTAACTGGTTCACAATATTTCTAATTCGCGCGCGCGGGGCGGCCCCTGGGGGCCCCCGAACGAAAAGTACCCCGGCAAGGTCCCCCGAGAAGCCCCCAGAGCACTCCAAGGGAGGGCCAATTTTCGACACCCCTCACGAGGATCGTGGCCTCCGAGGGGGGAGCCGCAATCGACTACCCCCCCTCCCGCCCTAAGAGGCTCCCATGAGCCCCCCAAGAGGCTCTGGGGGCCCCCAAGACGCCGCCAAGGAGCCCCTAAGAGAATCCTAAGAGGTCCCCAAGAGGCCCCCAAGAGACCCTAAAGAGGGCTCCAGGGCCGGCGGAATGAGCGAAGCTATTAAATAATCAGCAAGCTCCGTTTCCAACACAACACCCAGTACTCAACGGGCTCCGTCTCCAACGCCACATCCAGCTCTCAACAAAATCTCGCTGCAAAGGAGAATCCTTGGGAGCCCCAGTTCCAATCCTGATCCGCCCGCCGCCCACCCGCCGCTCGCCAAACACAACACCTGGTGCTCAACGATCACGCATGGAATGCCAATTTTCCTTGTTGCACTCCATGAGGAACGGGGGCCATGGTGTGCGCAGAAAGCTACAAAAAGCACCTCGATACGCACCCCACTGTAACGACCCGCCCGCCTGAACCGACCCGCCCGTTAGGGCCCGACCGCCCGACGCGACCCACCTTCTGGGGTCCGCCCGCCCGACCCGACACGACCCGTTAGGGTTCTCGCGTGTCTAATCGACCATGCATCATATTTTGATGACCCGCCCGCCCGCCCCGATCCGCCCGCTAAGGTCCGCCCGTCCGACACGTGCCGGTGTTCGCGTGTCTAATCGACCACGCATCATACTTTATTGCCCCGCCCGCCCGACCCGACCCGCCCGTCAGGGCACGCCCGCCCGACCCGTCCCGACCCGCGAAGGTCCGCCCGCCCGACCCAGCCCGACCCATTGGGGCCCGCCCGCCCGACCCGACCCGACCCGACCTGTTAGGTCGACGACGACAACGACGACGACGACGACGACGACGACAACGAAGACGAGAATGAGAACGACGCCGACGACGACAAGTGTGACGACGACGACGACGGCGGCGGCGGCGGCGAGGACGGCGGCGGCGGCGCCGCGCCCTGGACCAGGACGAAGGTCCATTCGGCGCCGTCTCCAACACATCACCTAGCAATGAACGCGCCCGCCGCCGGCCTACCGCGCTTCCATCTTCAACACATCATGCGCACGGTCTGCTCACATCTCCTTGACATCATTAGATTCGACACCACAATGCGGTTGCGCCGGGGACGACACGTTACAACACGCATTTGGACTGAGAGGCGCGTCCTGATATGGGGAGCGCACAAGAAAGATCGAGATAAGCCGCCCATTTCGCGCTCGCACTCGAGACTCCACCCTCTGTGGAGAAGAGACTGCGCTGGAACAATATCCCCTGCTACCTGTGATCGCTAGAACAGCAGTGTCTATACGTGAACGAGTAGCCATCTTGAAAACACTCTTCATGGCCAGTGGTGCAGCACCACTCCCGTGTACGCCGCATCGATCGACGACGCTCCCACCAGCCTGCGAAATCTGACAACACTTCGGTGCTCTCTTCACCGTAATACCGAAGCCTCTTGAAATTCTCGTCGAACAGAAGAGTCGCATATTCTCCGCCCTCTTTTTCACGAAAAGCGGCAGTCGCATCCTGCAAAGACTCGAAGTGGTCACTGTGAACCATTCCCCAATCTACATGCCACACCAAGAAGAAACCCGTCTCTTGCACCGGTGGGAAGCACGCTTCAATGTGACTTCGGCGAACAATGTCACGCAGCTCTTCGAGCGAGAACTTGTGGTGCTGTTTCTTCCTGAAAACATACAATGTTTCACGGCGACCGAAATTTTCCGAAGCAGTGCTCCGAAGCCGTGCCTGCGCCACATCGTCATGATCGTAGCCCAACGATGTAAACATGTCTAAGATCTCCTTGGCGTTGCGATTGTTGACATGTCCGAAACCGTGCTGCCCACGAATGGCCCAAGACATCACGATGCCATGGCGGTTGCTACGGTGTAGGTTGTCTAGGAAAATATGTTCACGAGTCAAGGGTATGTGCTCAGCAACATCGAAAGTCAAGACCCAGTCGCAGCAACCTCTCGGCGACAGGTCTACATGCTCAGACAGGTCCATATATTCGACACGATTTGTCTCGCTAGACATGGCTTTGTCCCCTTCGATCCCCCACGCGTCAATGTTCGCCGACCCATTGGGACCCTCTCGGCATGTGACATCGCTGCCCTTCCCCAAGCCCCTCCCGAGGAGCCTGGTCTGGCAGTTCTAAAGGATGGGGCATCAAAAGTGGCCAAGGTGCCGAAGATGCCCAGGAGCCATCTGGCTCCCAGACGCTCCAAGATGGATCCGACAAGCTCTGGCTCCCAGACGCCCGAGGTGGGCCGAACTCGGCCCCAAAAGACACCCAAGATAGCCCGGGGAGGCCCAAGGTGGCCCAAGAAGGTCCCCAGAGGTTCCCAGAAATCCCCAGGAACTCCAACACGGCTCCGAGAGGTCTCCAATACACCTTGAGTATGGCCCCACGGAACCGAAAACTGCCTCCCCATAGCAGCTCCGCACGACAGGGTCCAACACTATAGAGCCCCACGATATAGGGTTCCACATCATGAGTTCTCACACGATAGGGCCCCGCACGAACGGTTTGCACACGAAATGGGCCCATGCAGTACGTTTTCACTGGTAGGGTCCGGCGCCGACGCCTCAGGGCCCTTCGCGAGAGGGCCCCACACGATCCCACACGATAAGCTTCACTCGACAAGGACCTAATTATCCTGGCGAAGGACCCAACCATATGCTATTGTGAGTACCGCAATTGTGAATATCTTCTTCGGTGGAGCCCCCTACGGGGCCACGAAACGTACGAGGGGTGTGCCGAAATGAATGTGCGGGACGCATGCGGGCACACCCACTGGGGCCTTCGGTGGAGCTCCCTATGGGACCACAAAACGTGCGAGGGGTCACGAAACGCGTGAGGGGTGTGCCGAAATGAGTGTGCGGGACGCATGCGGGCACACCCACTGGGGCCTTCGGCGGAGCTCCCTTTGGGGCCACGAAACGTGTGAAGGGTATGCCGACATGGGCGTGCGGGACGCATGCGGGCGGCAGCACTGGGACCTCCGGTGGAGCCCCTCTACGGGGCCACGAAACGTGCGAGGGGTGTGCCGAAATGGGTGTGCGGGACGCATGCGGGCACACCCATTGGGGTCTTCGGTGGAGCTCCCTATGGGACCACGAAACGTGTGAGGGGTCACGAAACGCGTGAGGGGTGTGCCGAAATGGATGTGCGGGACGCATGCGGGCACACCCACTGGGGCCTTCGGTGGAGCTCCCTATGGGGCCACGAAACGTGTGAAGGGTATGCCGAAATGGGTGTGCGGGAAGCATTCCCTATGGGCCCACGAAGCGCGTGAGGGGTGTGCCGAAATGGGTGTGCGGGACGCATGCGGGCGGCAGCACTCTGGGGCCTTCGGTGGAGCTCCCTATGAGGCCACGGAACGTGTGAGGGGTGTGCCGAAATGAATGTGCGGGACGCATGCGGGCGGCAGCACTGGGGCCTTCGGCGGAGCTCCCTTTGGGGCCACGAAACGTGTGAGGGTGTGCCGAATTGGGTGTGCGTGACGCATGCGGGCGGCAGCACTGGGGCCTTTGGCGGAGCTCCCTATGGGGCCACGAAACGTGTGAGGGGTGTGCCCAATTGGGTGTGCGTGACGCATGCGGGCGGCAGCACTGGGGCCTTCGGTAGAGTTCCCTATGGGGCCACGAAACGTGTAAGGGGTGTGCCGAAATGGGTGTGCGGGACGCATGCGGGCGGCAGCACTGGGGCCTTCGGCGGAGCTCCCTATGGGGCCACGAAACGTGTGAGGGGTGTGCCGAATTGGGTGTGCGGGACGCATGCGGGCGGCAGCACTGGGGCCTTCGGCGGAGCTCCTATGGGGCCACGAAACGTGTGAGGGGTGTGCCGAATTGGGTGTGGGTGACGCATGCGGGCGGCAGCACTGGGGCCTTCGGCGGAGCTCCTATGGGGCCACGAAACGTGTGAGGGGTGTGCCGAATTGGGTGTGGGTGACGCATGCGGGCGGCAGCACTGGGGCCTTCGGCGGAGCTCCCTCCGTTATGGGGCCACGAGATGGTGTGTGAGGGGTGTGCCGAATTGGGTGTGCGTGACGCATGCGGGCGGCAGCACTGGGGCCTTCGGCGGAGCTCCTATGGGGCCACGAAACGTGTGAGGGGTGTGCCGAATTGGGTGTGGGTGACGCATGCGGGCGGCAGCACTGGGGCCTTCGGCGGAGCTCCTATGGGGCCACGAAGCGTGTGAGGGGTGTGCCGAATTGGGTGTGGGTGACGCATGCGGGCGGCAGCACTGGGGCCTTCGGCGGAGCTCCTATGGGGCCGCGAAACGTGTGGGGGGTGTGCCGAATTGAGCGTGCGTGACGCATGCGGGCGGCAACACTGGGGTCTTCGGCGGAGCTTCTACTATGGGGCCACGCAACGTGTGAGGGGTGTGCCGAATTGTTTGTGGGTGACGCATGCAGGCGGCAGCACTGGGGCCTTCGGCGGAGCTCCTATGGGGCCACGAAACGTGTCAGGGGTGTGCCGAATTGGATGTGGGTGACGCATGCGGGCGGCAGCACTGGGGCCTTCGGTGGAGTTCCCTATGGAGCCACGAAACGTGTGAGGGGTGTGCCGATATGGGTGTGGGTGACGCATGCGGGCGCGGGCACTGGGGCCTTCGGTGGAGCTCCCTATGGAGCCACGAAACGTGTGAGGGGTGTGCCGAAATGGGTGTGGGTGACGCATGCGGGCGCGGGCACTGGGGCCTTCGGTGGAGCTCCCTATGGAGCCACGAAACGTGTGAGGGGTGTGCCGAAATGGGTGTGGGTGACGCATGCGGGCGCGGGCACTGGGGCCTTCGGTGGAGCTCCCTATGGAGCCACGAAGCGTGTGAGGGGTGTGCCGAAATGGGTGTGGGTGACGCATGCGGGCGCGGGCACTGGGGCCTTCGGTGGAGCTCCCTATGGGGCCACGAAGCCTGTGAGGGGTGTGCCGAAATGGGTGTGGGTGACGCATGCGGGCGCGGGCACTGGGGCTTTCGGTGGAGCTCCCTATGGAACCACGAACCGTGTGAAGGGTGTGCCGAAATGGGTGTGGGTGAAGCATGCGGGCGCGGGCACTGGGGCCTTCGGTGGAGCTCCCTATGGATCCACGAAACGTGTGAGGGGTGTGCCGAAATGGGTGTGGGTGACGCATGCGGGCGCGGGCACTGGGGCCTTCGGTGGAGCTCCCTATGGAGCCACGAAACGGTGTACTGGGTGGGTGAAGAGGAGAGGAGGAGAGGAGGGGAGGAGAGGAGGAGAGGAGAGGAGAGGAGAGGAGAGGAGGCGGAGGAGGAGAGGAGGAGGAAGGAGACGCGGGGCACCGTCTCTTCAAAACGAGGACCCAACACCACAGGATGGTTGGGAAAAAATAGGCTCCCGCACGATCGGGTTCTAGTCGACACAGGCCCACACGATAGGGTCCCAAACGTTTGGGTTCCGCTTGAGATGACCGATCGAATCCACTCGACAGGGGCCCGCACGACGGGGTCCCGCGCGATTGGGTTCCACGCGGCAGGGTCACACGATAGGATCCCAAACACACTAGAGTCCGACGCAACAGAGACCCACGCGAGAAGGTGTCACACGAATAAGACGTCCCAAGAAGTCTTTCCTCTGAGAATCGGGGTAAGATGCCAAAGGAACTGTGGTATCGTGATCAACGCGCTCAGTGGTAGAGGGTTTGGGACGAGGCATGGATGAGACAATGGATAATCTGTATAGCAAATGATAACAAACACGGGAAGGGGGGAGGCCGGCCGGCCGACGCCCGGACGCGAGCACGCGGCGGCACGCTCCTTTTCAGGCTTGATACCAAACAGCTGCAAAGTATCAATGTCAATGTGAAGCAAGGCAGGCGGCAGGAGAGGCAACTAGAAGATAAGGCGGAGAGGAGCATATTTACTCCCCCCGCGGCGGGGTCCGTAAGCCCGTCAGCCTACATCCACCAGCCTCTGTACATATATACAACCTGGAGGAGCCCAAAAACTCCAGGCCAGCTGGGGACGATGGGCTGACGGTCGCCGACGAACCCCACCTCCGCATAAAGCCGGGATTCTCATGTCGCAACGACTGGGTCGCACGACTCCTCCTTGCTCACTTCTTCTGCCAGTAGGCCTGCGAACGCGATGGCGGCGCTGGAGGCCTCGGAGTCGAAGACGAGGCACCTCCTTTCTGCCAAGCTGGCAGGTGAGGCTCCGAAGGCTTGCCTCCTTTGCCAGGGCCAGCATATGGAGCTGGCCGCACATGTTTGGACTTGTCCGTGTTCTTGCTGCATCCCTTGCCCTGATCTCTCGGGAACCAGTGGTTGTAGTCGTACTGGGACAAGAAATGCCATTCACGTTCTTTGCGGGCATGCCAATGCACCTGGTCACGGTGCACCCTGAAACCTACCACCTCGCCGTGCTCGGAGGTCTTCGGGCAGTGCCGCATGGGGTCCCAGGCGCCATCGCCATAGCCGGCAGCCATGGCTCCGCCGCGCCCGCGCGCGGTCATTGGCTGATCCCACGCGTTGCCGTCTGGGGAACGCCTCGAGGGTTCATCACCCGCCGATGCAGTTTGACCGCCGGCAGAGTGGGGAGACTCTGCGGCCCCATCACCGACCCGAACGTCTGGGACGTTGGGCGGTCGAGGCGGGGAAGGCGGAGCCGGTCGGCCAGCAGGGCTTGGCCCTGCTGGCGACGCGGAAGCCACCTCCTGAACGGCTGGGCCGTCGGAGGGGTCGTCTGCGGCTCTCTCCTCGCGAAGTCGCGTCTCGTGCTGCAACTTCGCGTGCCTCGCGATGCCCATCGCGGCAGTCGTCACGCAGGGGCCGAAGCGCCCACTGGCAGTGCGAAGGGGGCCTTGGTCACAGTCTTGCTCGGGATTGGACTCCAAGAATGGGCGCAGGAAAACGACGGCGTCTTGCAATGCTCCGCTGCGGCGACGGAGCTCGGCACGACGCTTAGTGCAACGGTCGCGGGACCATGCTTCAACGAGGTCATCTGCGTTGACAGCCGAACGGATACGGCTGCCCAGCGCAAATGCATCGAGGCGGCGCTGTTCGATGTTGACTCCGTCGGCGGGCTCTCGAGAGTAGATGTCAGGCGTGGGGTAAGCGATGTTATATCC